AGAGATTCGCGGCTATAAACAAGGAATTGCAAAATTTCTAAAATTAGTCGTGCGAAACGTAATTCGATATTTAAAGGAAAAGCGGATCATTTGCCAACGGATGCACATTCGAATAAGCTAAAACTCTTTATTGGTTGGTGTGAACGTTTTTAACTAATGCAGGTTGCGTTTGAGAAGTGAAACGATTCTTTTTGTGTTTGATAATCGAGAAAGGGATTAATAACAAAAAAATATTGCTCCGCTTTGTATCGGTATAATGAGGCACTCGATGCTATTATCGATTCTTGTCTTATCTCAGTAACTAGCTCGGTAATTATATTTTTACAAGAGGATGTGTATAACATTTTTGGATGTGCTTTTATAAAGCTTGCTAAGACTACGATTAAGTTACAATTATTATACGGCGAGGCGTCAACTTAGTCTTGAGTAATCTATTTGAACAAAGCAGAATTTGTATAAATCGCAGACTGTGAAAGAAAGGCGTCAAACAAATAGCAAAATCATTGAATTAATTTATTTTTACAGATTGGTAATTATATTCCATTGTGAATACAGTTCAACCAACGGCAAATGCTTTGTCTACTGTAGCACAATGAACGTAAGGGTCGATTGGGGTGCGAAAGGGTCCGACGAAAAGTGTAACGTGGTTGGAGGATAGCCAGTAGATGGAGGATGCAATCCCTCGGTCGATATTCTGGCACGACAGGGGATGCCGGTTAGGGCCAGACTTGGCTCCCTCTAGGGCGTTGTTGTAAACGACTCTTGTGTGTGGCACAAGGTCAAACGGAAGATGATTCATCGACGAGGAGCGATATACTTGGTTGTATGACTGGCAAATAAACTGGTCGTTTACGTGTACGGTCATGTACAGTTTCATACACAATCGCCTGAGCAAACGATCAAACGAAATCGATAGATACATAATCTGTTAGTGTATACAGTGATACACTTATTGAAATAAATTATCTGGAAATAAATTTCGAACGAATACAAAATAAATGTTTGATTTCTTACTCGTGGAATAAGAAACTGAACTGTTCGATCGAATAAATCGCTGTAAATTTGGCTCATTTCTGACCGATACACGTACACGGAGTTTCAGATTCCATCTCTTCTAGTCTTCGATTTCTACTGCGCCAATTAAATCGTTTACATTTTAGTGTTTCCATCGGTATTGCATCGCAAAGATTTGAATCACCTGCCATGAATAACGCACGGAGAAATCCGAATAATTAAACGAGAGAGGTTAGAAACCGTTATTTTCGATCGATAACATGAATGGGGGAAATATATATATGACCATGCGAGTAAGCAACAGCGAACAAGATTGACCGTAGCAGTGTCGAAGATAATCAGCTTTATTCACCACGTTTACGAAGGCGTCAGTGAACTTTGAGAGTCACTGGCCTGCAAGAACCGACCTCCTTACGGGCTCATTGAATTTTTCCCTCTCTACCAGAACTTCTGTTGTAGTTCACTGTCATCCTCGATGCTAGACACCGAGAGGGGAGAGGGTTAGTTTCGCAAGGAAACTCAGCTCTTCATTACCAAGGATACAACGTCTATCGATAACTAACGTACATATTTCAAATGTATTCAAAATCGGTAGCAACTAATTGCAACGATTTCACATGGTTAATACTCTGTCGCCACATTGTCGGAAACGGAACACCAGCAATTCTTCCGGAACTTTGATACATGCGTGTCCAAGGTTGCAAAACTTTAAGTCATGAAATTTAATTGCGAAGATTAATAATCAGCACTTTCCTTGCTGTGGTATCATATATCATGAGTAATCGTGTTAGGAGAAAATTTATCATTGAATTTTCGAAAGCTTTCAAACAATTAATTTATCGAGATTACGTACATGATAACTTTATACTTACACTTGATATGTATACAAAATGATATATAAAAATGTAATATTAAATAAGTCCCTTATAACATTTATTTTAAAAAGTAACGATAAGTGACGATAACTGTTTAAATAGTTTCTCTGTATCGAAGGTATCTGCAGCTAATAGATAACGCTGATAAACGTAGCATATGACAGAACGAAAATATTCCGCGATGCAGTGGATTTATCTATAAATAAATTACACATTGCGCTCCTCCTTAATAAGTAGTTTGCACGATGAAAGAAAGTCGAGCGAATAAATTGATTCAACAATACGAAACATGAATCGATACGATCGTAGGAAAACGGCAGATCTGGCGTAAGGCATGTTCGTTGCATAAATGTTTGGCAATTACGACGCAAATTCGTGAAATATTCGAGCCGGTGATGAAATTATACGATGGAAACAGTCCTAGAATGTCTTTTGCAGAGTTGAACGAAATTCTAGTCAAATTAGAGGACAACAGAAAATAAGTTTTTTAATCCAATAGCCAATAACAGAATCGTGAAAAAGACTTGGCTTTATATTTATTTTGTAAACATGGCCAACATAAAAAACCCTTTTTCAACTTGAGACTTGACACAAAATTATGTAGAAAAACAAAAAGAAATCATTTTTAACCGACTTCGAAAAGGAGGAGGTGACTTAACTCGACATGTATATATTTTTTTGTCGACGTCGACAAATTTACCGTTGAAAGTATCACAATTAGCAAAAAAACATTTGCGATAATTGAAAGAATTTACCGAGGATTGCCATGCGACTCGATACGTTACACCACGACATCGAGTTTCTGCTCTTTGGCGATAAATTTTATCCAGATAAAAATGTCAAATAACGAATAAGCAATAAACAATTTTTTAGCCGTTATACGTTAAATACTAATTACAGATTGAATTGTAAAATGAAATTATGTATCACGTTGAACGACTAGGAACTTATTTGTACGACTGTTCCATCGAATAAACGTCGTAAATAAATCACTACTTATCATTCGAATAAAATTCGGCCAACCTCTGCACGTATGCATGTTGGCCTCTTGTTTTGTCCCATATCTCAGGAGCGGTTCTTCGGGAAATCGTAAAATTTGGCGTGATGCATAAGACATCGACTTGATCAAATTTTCGACAAAATTTAATGATTGAATGGAGGAGAGGGGAGATTGACACAGGGGATGCCATATTTTGTTTTGTAACGTAGAGTTACGTCGAGGCGGAGCGGTTTCTTCGGCGGGGATGAGCCGATAGGAATGGTTCCGGCTTCGATTTTGATTAGAAGTTTTGACTATTACGAATTCGATACGTTCCGCGCTAATCCCGAAAAAGTTCTGCAATCGATGTTGCCAGTTATTTTTTTTTCTCCCGTCACCGATCATAGTTGCTCTGTTCGAGTCACTAACTGTCCTATCGCGAAGCTGGAAATGAATCATCCGTTTCCTGGAAGCAAGGAATCGCGATTGGCACGTAAAATTGCACCTACTGCGAGAGATGGGTCGTAGTTGCTTGTGGTCGTTCGTTGTAAACGTAAAAATCGATAGCACAGAGGATTCCGTGGCGAGTTGTTAATAACAACGAAATCGTTCGATCGGTGTGGCCGAAACGAAGAAAGCGGTCGCCAATCGCGGCGTATTGCCGGGACAGAAATGGCGACCGGCGCGTTTGCTTCGGCCATAACCACAAAGTAACCCGTCCCTGTACCGGTTCCCGGAGGATCGTTGACATATTTTGGTAGATACATGCACAGTATTGATATTTACCATTTCGTGATGTCGTAGCCGATGAGAAGAATCACGTAAACAAGCACTTTTAACCTACACTTTCACGAGACCCTCAGGTTCTGGTAGAACTGGATAGGCGCAGTGTCCAGTCGCGGGGGTCGCGGCTCACGAACGAACGAACGAACGAACGAACGAACGAACGGGAAGGGAGGCTCCTCTCGTAGCCTAGCTTTCTGCGAATCCTGTATCCCTACGCCTGCGCGCGCGCACTTCTGATTAACTCCGTCTTGATTGGCCGGTTTCTAGATTAACAAAAATTCGTAATCAAATTCGCGTACGCCGTTTCCGTGAAATGTCGTTAACGGAATCGCAGGTTTCGTGTGTCCTGTTCTTTTCACGAGAAAGCAACGAATTAAATATGATTCGAGCGCGAATTTTTTTCACCGAGCCGGTAGGATTATTACAGTGCGCAAGCGTCGCGCGTTGCGGTCCTGCCGGTCGTTTGCGTGGCTCTTAATTTCGTCTGGAATACGATTCTCTCGCGGATTACCTTGAGAATAAGGTCGATCAGTGAAATCACCGATTCGTTGGAACCGTCGTGGAACCGATTCGAGTAGCAATGACATGTAATTTGCGGGAATTAATCATCGACGCGACCTGCCGGTCACGCTGGCCAATCATCGCGAGGGACGTGGGGAAATTACCTTATATGGGCAGCGGCATGCAAGCGACCGCATACAGACGTCGCGTGTCGTTCCGTGCGCATGCCGCATATTTTCCGTGCGCACGACGCGCAACGTCGTCAGGGCCGACGCTAAATGGAAGCAAATAAATACACTCCATTTGGGGCACTCGAAAAACAAACAAATTTTCTATGATTATCATATCATGTTTTAATCTTGACAATTTCTTTCTCCTCTATCTACTATTTTTAACGAACCTTGTATTCATTGATAAGGAAAATACGATTATTCTATCTGAGTATAACTTTCTATCCTCAGAAAGTAAAGACTGAACAAATTACGCTATATTAACAAGAAAAAGTAACCAACTCATAATTTGAAGGACTACCATGTAGTGCCTGCCCTGAACATTTTTGATAGGTTGAAAACACGCCAATACGCGACAGCGCAGTATCGGAAAGGCGGCAATCTCAAATACGCTTTATCGATAAACGTACAAAAAAAAATGTTGAGTATACATTTGTTTCATATACCATTGACAATTTTTATTTTACATACATCTGTCGCATTCAGTAATCTATGTAACACTGGAATTAAATTTAACACTAATGGCTTCGAATACAATTCGTAACCAACGATACTTCCATGTCATTTTGGACAAGACGGTAATTATGAGTACGTCACACTCACAAATAAATCACATTAAAATATTCACATAAATATATTTCACCTTAGATATGACAATATATGATTAAACGCAATTTGTATCCGTGCGAACTATAAGATGTAGCCAAGTACGTAATCGAAGAATTATGGAATATAAATAGGATATTACTTTAATACTGCTACCAATTATACATCTTTAAAGTATGTTTAATACATTTTAAGATTTTTTTTTGTAGTTTCTTCGTTACAGATTCCTTAAATAAAACTATTAATCTTAGATCGTAGACAATATACAATATAGCTAAAATAGTTAAGTTATACTCTACAAGCATAACAAACTAGAGAAACTATAGATTAGAAAATACTGAGACAAGATATATTCTAACTGACGACCGTAGTAATCGATGCTAGTTGACGCAAAAGAAATATTACATTAAAGATTTAGAAGACAATTCAAATTTACATGTTAACAATTATTAAAAATATATGAAAATTTATTTTATAATTTATGTTGTATCATATAAAAACTGAGTATTGTAGATGACATATATCTTAGTCTAGTTGTTAAAGCATCATTTATAAACGAGAAAAAGTATAAGACTATGTAGAAGTTGTCCTGTCTTGCCAATAATCTAATTAACTCTTACTCTCTTAAAACTATAAATGTAAAATTTTCGATACCTAAATAAAAATATGAATTTCTCTACAATTTTTTAATAGTATACTGTTTAGATACATATATGTACAATTTTGGCAAATTTACGGATAATGTTAAACACATGTTGCATTTTGATAATACATTCTACTTAGCATTTTGTATTAATATATGTATAAGTATTTATAATATTTGCGAATTATTATACCGGATGTTCCGACATCTTGGATAAATAAAATTTACGGTTGAACTTAAATCTTTTCGAATAAATATGTACTTATTTTTTCCTACTACCTAAATTAACCTTAAATAAGTATTAAACAATACATACTTTTTAATGAAAAGTATAAAACTTTATTTATTCAAGACATCGTATTTATGATCATATAGTAAAAAGAACAATTTAGTAGATAAATAGAATACACGAAAATATACCTAATTGTCTATAGATACTAGCCAAATCATCGTTATAGCGTAATTATTTAATACCTATCCAATTTGATAGATTCGAGTTAACAATAATTATTTAATTAACTAGACAAACAAAACGAATACATTTAAAACATGTTTTTGTCATTCTTTCAGACAGAAATATATATATATAAGAATTTAGCCATTTAAATTATTTGAATTATTTAGAGAATATGTACAAATTTTTATTGTAAAACATATTTTGAAGCTTCTATAGTCAAATAATATTGGCAGTAATTAGCAGTGTATATAATGCTTGTTAGACACTGCAGAATAATACAAAAATATTCAGAAGTATAGTTATCTTGTAATGTAGGTCATACTACACATTTAACCATTGTGTACATAATTAATATTTTCACTAAATTTAAATTTGTATAACTTCCCATACGGTGACCGTTTATTAATATTTATTTTTAATTATCTGTTCAGAATAATTTTTAAATAAGAAATATATGGTTTTTCGTTTAAAATTTATTTTTTTACTTCGGAAAATTAAAAAGTACGAAATGAATACATAATCGATCAAAAAGTCATATATGGAAAGAGGAGAACAAATGCAATTACAAAGTTCTTAAATAATTCAAATCGTAATACTTTTCTTTAAGTACTCCTTAACAGTGCTCTTCAAAGAATAAAGATGTTTTATTGCATTCATTTGCATAGAATGCACAGTAACTATGATCTTGCAAAAATAACTATATGGTAGGAACCACTCCTTTTTTTTTTTAAATAGAGTTATTGTTTATAATAATAATATAAAGATGAAAAACAAAAAGAAAACGCTATATGAGAACTATAGATAAGTTAGTTTCTCAGTCAATTGTTACAAGATTTTTCCTTGTTTTTACAATTAATCAGATCATTGAAGGACTAAGATGTACGCTTAGATAACTACACGATAATATTTAAAACTTAGCCTTGCAAAATTTTTCTGATTTCTAAAGCTAACAGAACGTTAGATGAGTCCCCGTTTTTTCTTATAATCTTCTAAGTTTAAGGAGCGTCGAGGTCCTGTATCTTTAATATTACTAATAGGTTTCGGTAATACACTAACGGGATTATCTAAAATAAAAAAAATATATTATATTCATGTTAGTTTTGTTTGATATTAGTGTTTTAAATATTTAATAAAAATGTTTGTGTGCAACTTACTCGGAATGGGTACTTCCAAATCTATTGTGATATCAAAATCATGAGCATTAAATAGGTCCTCGGTACTTTGCTTTTTCTTTGTTTCTTGCCCGTTTTCTTTTTCGCTATTTACTGTTACTGATTCCGTTTGTTGAGGAGTTGTTTTGTCATTTATTGGAACAGTTGACGATATCTCGTCATCTTCTGGTTTATAAACCATTCTTGGTTTTGTACTTCGTCTGGTAAATGGGTCGTCCACCTTTTTACCTTTATTAGCTTTAATCTCTTCCTATAATATACAAAGTATATATTAATTTATTATTTATTACTTAATTAATTTATTAATTATAAATATTATAAAATCACCATAATAGCTTTTTCAGCTTCTTCAACGTTTTTCTTCCGATTACGATCGTTAATATAAGATATACTAGATATTGTTGCGGTGCGCATTTTATCAAGTTCTGAAGCACGTTCTTCGAGCTCGCCCAATTCTTGATTAAGACGACTGGCGGTTTCGTCGTCTCCTCTACAATTAGCTGCGTCTCTTTCTCGCATAAGTTGTGCTTTTTTCATTGCGTAATTGTATGGATTTTGTTTAAATCTTTCTTTTTCCCGTACAATTTTCTCTATATCTTCTTCTTTAAATTCATATACTAAGGCTTCCTTAATGTCTTTTAATTTTTGATCGACTTCTTCGAACGTGGGCATGGATATTCCTTGCAAAGCGCAAGTTTCCTTCCATTTGAAAAATTCAGACTCAGTGAACTCTTGATTCGATACAAATTCTAATCTGAACACGCGTTCCTGAGCTCCATGCCTTAATTTCAATCCTTTGTTTGTTCTTGTACCGCCGAGTTGGTAAATTTTCCCTGTTTCACAGACGCCGCTTATTTCAGCTACTCGGTAAACGGGTTTTCCATTGTTATTTCCAATACCAATCCTAACAAAACAACCTTGTACTACTCTATCAAAGAAAGGTAGATGTACAAATCTCTCCATTTTGTGACGAGATAATCTAATTTTATTGAGATCTTCCTTAGTACTGACATATATTGGTTTCTTCGGTTTGGCTTTATTACTAGTAACAGACCTGAAAAGTTACGTACGCGATCGTCAGTCAAAAATCGCTGTCGTTTAAAAATTATTCCAAAATGATAATAATAAAAAAAAAAGAGAACAAACAAACAGGTACTGACTTTTTATCGTTATCGGAATCGGAATCCCTGCTATCGCTTGAAGACGATCTACGATGAGATGATGGTTTAGCGGTTTCTTCGTCTTCACCGCTATCCGATGAACCGCTATCATCGGAATAAATATCAGACGCTTTAAGCTTTGTTTTATTTGCGCCACCCTTGTGATCATCTTCCAATTCTTCTTCCTCCATGTCCTTTGATTGTTGTTGCTGTTGTTCTATCCTTTGTTTCTCTTTTTCCTCTGTTGGAAGATCAGAAGATATTTATAAAAACCGTCGATGAGTGGATAAAAATCGTCGATAATTTATTAATCACTTTACCTCTTTCTTTCTTCTCTTCTCTCCTTGCTTTTAGAAGAGACATTGCATGGAATTTTTTATCTTGCTTCTCTTCTATAGTTTTTTTACGATCTTTACTTCGTTCTTTAGGATCTGGAGCTCTGTCGACTTTCCTCTCCTCAGCACTTTTCTCTTTCTTCCGCGATTCCTTTTGTTTTTTCAATTCTTGTTTCTTGGCCATTCGTAATTTCTTTTCAATCTCAAATCTTGTTTTCATAATTTCGCGTTGTTCGATACGTTTAAAAATTTCCTGTTCGCGTTCTTTTTCAGTCATTTGAGCAAGCCTTGCTTGATCTTCAGCATCACCCATCAACTTATCATCATAGCCATCGTTGAATTCCTCTTGACTAGAATCCGAAACACTGGCATCTGAGTCTGAAACCTCTCCTAAAAGTATAAAAGTACTTTTTAATTTTTTGTATAGAATTCCAATCTCTTTTTCAATCTCTATTCATGTCTTATCCACAATGTTGAGTGGTTAACATTGATGCACATAATTACCTTCTTCCGGTTCAGAGACTTTCTCAGGTTCTTTTTCACTAGCACTCTCCTCGCTGCTAGACTTTGTCATCTTTCTTTTATTTCGTTTAGTCGGCACTTTCTTTTTCTTATTTTTACCAGCCTTTGCACCCCAATCATCATCCGAATCTGATGTGTCTGAATTATTTTTGCTGTCCTTTTTAGCATTACCTGTGTCTTCATTAGATTGAGAATCATCTTGAGCTTTTCCTTTCTTCTTTTTAGCGAGCGATAACAAGTCCTAATTCAAGAGATAAACGTTTAATAAAAAGATCAAACGTTTTCTATACAGCAAACAAATTTCTGATATACACATGTAAAGTACGAATTGCGAGAAAAAAGAATTTTACATGTAGCATCCATTTGGTTTAAACATTAGCCAATTACTCTTGAAAATTAAGTGAACATGTTTTTATATATATACAAATTTGTGCGTGTACCGTTTAGCAGTATAACAGAGGTTATGTAAAGCAATATTTCATTTGCACGTCGTTTCTTGTAATATGATTGAAATGTATACGAGGTGATACGATGTAATCAATTTTACTATTGAAATCCGCATGCTCGACATTCGAAGATAAGAAATTCATCGTAAATGTAAAACAGAAAAAATACGCGACATGAGATTTTTATGTAAGGTTATATCATTTACATTATCCAAATCCGAGCCACTTTCCGATGCACTGCCACTACTATCAGAGTCTATAAGAGCCTGATTCTTCCTCTTTGGCATCGTCACGAGAAATTGCACACGGAGATCGTGAAAATTGCACGCCCTCCTGACAAAGACAAATCTAACGTCATACAAGATACAATAAACTAGGAAGACCGCGCAGAACCGAAAACGTTAAACATCAACGACAACATGGCAACGTAATGCCACTTACTTCTTCAACCTAGTGACAAAGTTGAACAAAGTTGAACTGCACATTTTATTCCATAAAATTTTTGTACATAATTCATTGATATGTAAAATAATAAAGTATTCCTTCCAATAATGTTCATATTTTCTCTCGTAATTCACGAATTATCCACCTATTTCGTTCGTTGATTTTGTAGGTGCAAAGCTTTTACGTTAGGAATATTTTCTTTCGTAAATTGGTAAGTGTGAATGTTGACACTTTTTGCCGTCAATGGCGTACAATAGACGCACCTGTGTCGATGTGTCAGAGAAATTTTATACTATATTGGATTTTATATGACGTTACCATCAGGCAGTGAAATGTAATTATAGGAGTGGCATTTACGAATTAATTTTAATAGATAGTAGTGTCGTAGCGAACGCGAGCATTCTAATTACGGATGTTTAAAATTAGAATATTCAATGGCTGTGAATATGGAAGTAGAAAAGAACACCTCCAAAGAGGTTGACACTCAACTTTTGGCAACCAATTCGATGGAATTTCACGATGGCATTCAAAAAAATGATGAAAATGTTAGAGATCTTGAGAATTCGTTTTCGTCGCTTGAAAATAAAACGTTCGATAGCGAGGAATGCGATCGTACGATTATATACGCACAACTCGAGGAGCCTAAAATTTACCCGAATGATTTAGACGATAATCGAATATCAAATAATGAAAAACAGAAAGTAAGCATCGAAAATAAAGAGAAAGAATTGTCACAGAACAAGAAAACTTTAAGGAATGATTACAAGAGTCATCAATCAGAAGCAACATCAGAAAACTCCAATGATAGACATGCATCTCAAGCACCGTTAGCTTTTACAATTGACTTTGGCAACAAGGAAGTTGATACAAGCAAATATCAGAATTTATTTGAGAGATATAATGCTCGTCATAAACGAAATCTTTCCACATCTAAGGTAGGCACCATTTGGATTTTATATTAAATTATGTGAAGAAAGAAGGTTCAGATTTAAACAGTTTTCCACAATAATATCTTGAAAGTATAGAATAAAAGAAACTAAGCTGAAATTGAAATTAAATTTTCAGGTAGAAATAAATACCAAAAAAACTGGCACATGTTCTTCAAATTTAATGCAAAAACAAAAAGTTTCTAGTACACATTCTGAAGGTTACTTTAGTAGTGAAGATGACACAAGAAGAAAAACAGATCAATTATCAATGAAACTGAAACAGCTAGGTAATTTTATGAGTTAACATAGAGCATAATTATTTGATTTTCATTTAATTGAAACTTTTAGCACGATTTAATAATGTTCCATAATAAATATTTAAAGTATAATATTTGAAATAATGCTTGCTTACTTCCATAAACATTGAAGATCAATTCCTTTAGAAGAATAAATTCTGTATAATGGAATACTATATTTGTAAAGTATGAGTCATGATGGAGTCACCTTTTTAATATTCTTCTCAAGTATCTTTGATATGTTCACAGTATGTAGGCTGCCATCACATTAATGACTCTAATATTTTATCAATATATTATAGTATTAAGTTACATTACACTGAAATATTATGTTAAAAACTTTAACATTAGTATTAACAAATTATTTTAACAAAAATGTTATACTGTATACTTCATTTTTATATTTATTAATTCTTTTTTTAGGTTCAAGAACATTTTTAAAATCATCTAACACTGCAACAAAATCTGAATCTGCTATGAAAGTGACAAATTTTCAGAGTACACGAAATGCAATGACTAGATCTTTTGAACAGTCAAAACAAACTAGATTCGCTGATAAAAATCTTTCTTTAGAACTTGGTTATACAGGAAAAATAAATTCAACACCATATTGGGTGCCTCAAAAATCAGCTACCATAAATGATTTAAGTAGAATTCAAGCAAATAATTATGATGATGAAGCTGAAAAGTTATACACAAAGAATATAGATCCAGAAGATGATTATGAAAATTCATCTGATAATGCTTCTGAAAAAGTTTGTAACATCAATTATGGTAGGAATAAAAGTATGAATGCAAAAGAACACAATTTATCTAGTGTTAGTTATACAATGGAAGTGAATCCAGATGAACTGGCTGAAACGAATATAGATGTTTTTAATGTCAGTAATGTTGATGGAGGATCAGATGGTGCAGTTAGTGAAGCAGGAACATACACAATACACAAGGATTATACAGATGAAGAGAAAGCAAGAATGGATATTGATAAAGTGTTTAGTGTTGGTATTTTAACCGAAGAGGAGAGCAATGGAGCATGTATTCATAACTTTAAGGTAAACGAATTGTGTATTAAATGTTTGGTACTATTGTGGGATAACTTTTTCTTTATTAACACTATTTTTTTTTTATTTCAAAGATGAGTGTTTCAAGGGATAACAATACATGGATATCAGAATGGGCTACACAAGTAGCAGAACATAATTCTCTTCCACCAGCGATTGGTGGACCGACCGGTCGTACTCCTCCACTAAGTCCTTCCAAGATACCGTCTCCTATTCATACTAGATCTCAAAGACTGGCTCGTAGTCGCAATGTACGAAATTTTTGTACCTTGATCACTTTAATTATACTATCTTAATTATTATTCTATCTTGTATATTATATTTACATAATGGTACATATTTCCAGGAACAAAGCGACAGCAGTTTAGATGCGGAATCGTACTTGCGAATAAAAGAAAGAGTAGGTTTAATTTCAAATCAGCACATAATGATTGACTCTGGTGGAGAATCAGATGATGACACCAGTAATAGCTATAATACACCACCGCATAGTGCACAACGGACACCAGTGCATGGTACTTTAACAAGGCGCGGGAGTTTATCTGAATCTCTTTTTAGAAGAGCCAACACCAGCGAAAATAGGAGGAGCATTCGCAAATATTTGAGTTCAAACAAATCTAAGACTGAAGACACAAGCGCAGAATTAAGTAGTCCGTCCAAAGATTTTGCTTCCCTTCATTTAGGAAGGCGAAGTAGTTCCTTGGACAGGTAAAAAAAGCAATTATATGAATATTGATATCATAACTTGTGGTTGTAAATTATTCGCAAATATTATTTGGTTTGACACGACATAGGCGAGAATGTACATCCGATACAACTGAATCTAATACGTCCAGGAGGAGTAGTATGAAGTATTATCGAGATGATGAAACTACGTATACAAATAGCCCTGTTTTGAGCCGCCTAAGACCTTCTACGCCGAAATTAACTAACAGTCCAATCGTAACTCGCAAGACGGTAACAAAAATTGTTAATTCACTGGTGTTAGAAAAAACTAAGCACCTGGCGAAATCTTCTACAGAAGCTAAAAACATTGGATACTTTACTTGTGTTGAAAACAGGTACGCATATAGAATAAAATCCAAACATACTTGTATAAATAATACTAAACATTTTATTTCTTGAAGTCCATACATGTTAAGGAAGTCTAATAGTACCGCAAGTTACCATGAAGGAAGTATCGGCCTGAATAATAAAGAAATGCTAACGAAAACGAACAGTGTTCTTCAAAATAGTCCGAATCTTCAACGCAATCTAAATATCCAAAGATCGTGCAGCAATGCAAATATCAGAAATGTAAAGTCACAGAGCCACTTATCTCGTCGTAGTAGCTTTAACAGTAGTGACATTGACAGAACGTCTTCAAGAGGAAGGTGTGTTGTTGCATCTGACAGTAGCAGCGAGGCTGGTGAACAGCAAGTTAAACCTTCACTAGCTTCGATATCATCGGGAATTAAATTGAATCGAGCTTTTAGCATACGAAGAGCTAGGTACTTTTTGAAGATAAAAAATCTGAGATGTTGACATAATGCATTGAAACCTGTTTTTTTTATATGTAGATTAAATTGTGAATCCGATACAACACCAAATACAACTCCCGAAGAAAGACGAAGGCGAGCACAAAGCGAAGTAAAATCAACAATACCCGCAAATAAACAACAAAATTATCATCGAAGTCGTGCAAGCAATGTAAACGCTCATTTCAAAGAACCTTTAAAAAAATCAGAGCCTATAAAACCTAGAACTGTATCTATATCAAGAACTGACAGTACTAGGATTAGTATAAGGGCACCGAAATCATCTCACGTGAGTTTCTTTAACATTTTGTAAACATAGAATCATTATTATATTTCAATTTATTTTGACGATTTTTAAATATTTTAGCATGTTTCTATTACACAACGACCTAATCAGAAAGTAAATAAAGATCAGAAATCTGGTAGAAGTAATTCAACATTAACATCAAAGGAAGTCGAATTTCAGAATTGGAAAAGGAGGAAAAGTTATGATCCAATGAAGGCAGCCGCGGAAGGGAGAAAGAAATTAATAGACAACTCAAAAAAACATCACAGCACAGAAGACAGTTCTGGCAAGTGAGTAGATAACTTCAAAATATTTTTGAACCCATTTAGAATATACAATTATAATCTTTGAAACGATAAATGTCTTTTTAGTCACGATAATTCTGTATTGCGGTCAGCAAGTTTTCATGGAACTGGTGGTGCCCTTTCATTAGCTAATGAATGGTCAGACAACGAATTAAATTTTACTGAGAACGACAATCAAGTACCTCCACCATGTAGTCCACAATTGGTAAATTAAAAAGAAATTAAATATTTAAAAAAACATGTCTATACTATAAATAATTTTTATTGAATTATTAATATACAGAAAAGCGATAGCGATCTAGAAACATCGTATTACTTACAAGCAACGCAAAATGTTGTATCAGCTATGTCAGCTCGTATTACAGACTGTCATTCACCTTTGATAGATTCAGATAATGAAAGCGATGAGGATACTAGTCATAGTCTGCATAAAAATACGTCGAAAACATTAAATCAGCCTAGCGATACAGAGAGTAGCGACGATCGCCAGCCCTGTACACACAATACTATTTCAAACACTAAATATAACAGAGCATTCAGGTAACAGTGTTTAAAATTTAACTAGTCCGTATTATTTCTAATGCCTAATACCTAAATTATTAGTATTATCAGTGTATTCTAAGAATTGATTTACAGCTTACGCAGACCAAGAGTAGACTCACAAGTAACAAAACTACCAACAAATGTAAATAAAAATAAATCGGTCGCATCCGATACTCGTGGAAAATCTGAATCTATTACAAGTATTAGTAGAACCGATTCTGGGCGCTTCAGTATGCGATTAAACAGAACTTCAAATACTGTACGTATCTCTTTCCGTGCGCAACATACGTATTTCTATAAAGTATTTATCTAAACAAAATTTGTTATAGGGTTCTAAAGCGAAACCAAAGGAAACAAAAAAATCTGTAACACCTAACGCAAGGGAAGTTGAAATGCAAAATTGGAAACGTCGTAAAAGTTACGATCCTATGAAGGCCGCAATGGAAGGAAAACGAAAAGCAGGTTTAGCCAAAAAGAATGTGAATGCAAATCTTTCTCCAAGGTAAACAGTTTGTATTTATTTCTATCCGTACGGGAAATTATATGAAAGATATGATGAAAAATATTGTTGTCGCTATAATGTAAAAAGTAATTATTTCACTGTGTTGGTAGGACCGATAGCGATCGATAATCTAATGATAGAGACCATCGGTACAAGCAAGTGGTACGAAAAAGACTTGTTTGATTTTGCGATTTAGATTTTTTTAAGAGGTACACTAGCAATATAATTTTTAAATGTCATTGCTACTTTTGTAGGGCCTCTTGAGAAAATCGTATTGCAACAATGCTGCTTTTTGAATTTATTTATATACACGTTAATTCATTGCCTATTGCGATGCACAATTAATCTATGAATACTATGGATGTGCCTCTGTTTTATATGATTTTTTAGTCTAATAATAGCTTTTACTTTTGTCACATAAGAATCCATATTATTCATGTTTCACTTCATAGCATATTTTCGAAATGGATTATGTTTTAGTGAACTCGGCTATAAAAATATTCATTAATTTTTTTATTGAAAGAATGTAACTCGTAATTGAAATAGTTAGAATGAAACCAATATACATATACATTTCTTCATAATGTGTTTGTCAGCCAGGAATTTAAGCCTAGTTTGTTTTGGCTTATTAATGCAACACACGGCTAGATTAATGTTTTAAGCCTTATATATTGATTCTTTTTGTTTGCATGATCCAAGAAAGAACCAAGCTGCTCTTGGTTGAATAAAGCTGCTTGCATAGAACTTTTAATTGGACAAATTTACTGCAATTTTTACAGAGTTTTTAGGTTATATAGGTACAAACCTCTAACACGTTGAAATATTCAATATAGTCATTTAACAGATAATCGTTATATATAGAGAAATATAAAATATCTAGTAACTGGTTCTTTCTTTGCATAGTCTTACCTCAAGAAAAATATTTGCTCTCTTTTTAGTCATGTTGCAAGATCACGTAGTTTCCATGGTTCATCAGGATTTGGAGTTAGCGATTGGAGTGATGAAGAGTTGGCTATATCTGCGGACGAAAGTACCGTCTATTAAAGGTCACGCTATTAATGATATTATATGAATGAATTAAGTTACAAGAATTTCAACTATAGCAATTAATGTACATAAAGAATAAGAACATCAGTTCTTACTAAATTGCTCTATGAATAGTTCTATACATTTAAAATTATATTAAATGGAGAAGAATGTTAAAAAATCTTTTCTATATTAAAAGATTCTATTTTTTGCAACTTTTAACATTAAGAAACTATAGAACTATATGGCTATCAGTACTGTTTTAAGTTCAAGTATCACTATTTAATCAAATTGATGTCCTTATATTTTAGTTTTTCTTTAAATGTATTCAAGTGTATCATTGAATGCTGTATGAATTAAGACAAGAGAATATGTCAAAGTCTTCTGAATTTTGTGGTAAAAATAATAGTTCCAAAGTTAGGGCCTAAAGGTAATGAATACTAAATATATAAGATCATGTGTGTAATTGGTTTAATTGTGATTGGACCAATCATGTAGCAGTGTAGAGGTATTATTATCTTGACATTTTAGTTTTTAGTAGACATAACTATTATTTGTTTTTTGAAGTAAAATTATTATTCATTGCATTATTCGTTATAGTAGTTTCAGGAAACAATTGTTTACAGTATTTTATGTTCTCAATTTACTTTAATTGATACTTATTATTTCTTCTTGTGTCTCGTTGAAATCAATATGTCTCGAAAATGATATGAAAAAATTATTAGTTTCTATCAACTACAGAATTATACATATTGCTTGATAACAAATTAGGAAAGATATTATCATCTATCATTGATTCATGTATGAGCTCTCTGCATTTCAACATAATTATTGATGTATCTAAAGAAAAAATGCTATTTGCTCCTGAAATGTGCAATAAATTACTCTAATTACTTTTTACATCTAATAATTTAATAATTAATGTGATCATAGTATGCTTTAAGATGATAGTATATATTGTATTATATTTTATTATTGATCAATTTAATTGTATATCGTTTCGTTTACTATGAATTCTGTAAATATTAGGAAATGTTTTCAATTAATTGTAAGAACAAATATTGATCTAAATAATCTAGAAATTATATTCAGCTCATTGATGTATAATTATAACATTATCTAAACAGTAAATTTTAATATGCACTTGTTCAAAAGGTTTATGTTGTTTGGTCGCGCTTCTTGTTGATGTATTATAAATTTATCAGCAATTTGAGATACTACACAATTTAGATAAATCAATTATTTTTATGCACTTCCACGTACAGCTGGTTATATTGTAATTTTTACTGCATAATTTTTGAAATAAACATTATTTATTTTATTTGTAATCTTAAAAATCAATAAATCTCTTAAAGAGATTATTCATATGTTTGACAGGATTTTGGAAACAACACTTCGTGAGATGTATAAATAATTTATGCAGTAAGAAACATCATATCATATGATACATATGAAAAAAGAAATATCGATAAAATGCGATGTTGTATTTTGTTGAAAGCTTATTTTCAGAAAGATTTCATTATTTAAAAAAATGTATGTTCTGCACATTATTATTATTGTCAAAATGCACTTGTATGTTTTGTTTCAATAACCTAAGAAGGTGCTAATTGTAAACTTTGTTTGATTTAGTTTTCCAAATCCTACCTTTCCACTTAGTCATAGAAAGTTAAGTAATTCATAATTAGTGCGATTAATGTTTAAACGTTAATTGACTGTAATTTAGCATGATATATTTTTCAACCATTTGTATTATTGAGGGCGGGAAGGCTTTTTTCGAATACGAATAATTCTTCCAAAAATGGTGCAAAACAAATTTTACGTTATAAAACTATGTTTATACTATACAGATTTTTAATATCGTGTTAAAGATGCTTACGATGCATATACATAAATACGTAGTATTGTTGCAACTTGTTTCAATATGGATATTCATTTCTCGTTCTTCCTTCGAATAAACGTGGGCTTCCATTGTGAAGGTCATTGTGATTGCAAAATTGTTATTAGATTATTTAATATAAAATGATGTCTATACATCTTCTATTATTGTACTTTCTCATTGTGAAAGTGAGAATCGGAATATTTCATTTTATTCATTGTATTTGTTAGTTTCTCGATCTAATATTATCTCCGAATAACATGATAAAACAAAACATATTTGTATACCATCGCAAATCACTCATACACATAATATGTAGAGTTTTGCTATATTTTGTATAGATTATATTGCGTTATACCTGCGATCTACGACTTTCCCAACGCATTTTGGCGCAAACAACCTTATACGTACGTTCATACAATATAGAAAACGCAATATATTTTTCTATCAGCAATGTTTAGCGATAGATATAAGTTCAAACGTATTGTTAATGGTTTCGTATGATAATTTCTAGGGTGTGCATGATTTATTTTTCTCATATACATGTCACCTACGATGTAAAAATAAGTAGTAATTGGTATCTTTAAGGATGTTGTGCAGAACATATTGACATGTTTGATAAGTATATGGTAATAAATGACAGAAGAGTAATTGTATTTGCTCTCTTCTCTAAAAGAATTAAAATAATTTACTACCCAATCTTAATAATTTACTAGCCTAGCGATATTTTTAACATTAATTTTTTTTCTACCGAATGGGACAATCGAGAATGTAATACATATTTTTTATCAATGTAAAAAGACTATTGCTAACATGAAACTGACAAGAGTATGCGCAATAGCTTTAGCTTTATAATAGCGGTAATGTTAAATTGTGTGATACACGTGGGATCAAGATCGAATAGCCGACCAGGCGAGTGCAGGCGAGCATACTATTCCGTATTATAAATTAGTTTTTTTCGAGGTATATTAAAAAATTAAATTGAGAGTGACTACAAAATTCAGTGATAACAATGAAGGTACCTTATAAGGTATGTATGTTTAACTAATAAATTAGAGTTTGATTATAACCTTAAACATGTGTGTATATACAATGAAGTTAAGGTTACATTGTAATTTTGATTAGTTGCATAAATATTATTTACCGTAGGCAAATATGAGTGATATGGTGGATCCTTCTGACGAGTCAGATCTTGATTGTGATCATTATTCTAATGATGAAATTGATGAAAGTGAAGATCAAGAAAATGAAGATGATGAAGAGATCCAAGAATCTGATACAAGAGATGATTCTCATTTAGTATCTGTTAAAAAGAAAAGAAAAGTTATCAACGAATGTACAAATACTATTATGCCAAAAAAGAGAAAAAAATTAGAACATGATTTATATAAACCACCCACAGTCGAAGAATTAAATCAACTTAGGGAGACAGAAAATTTGTTTCATTCAAATTTGTTTAGACTACAAATAGAAGAAATGCTAAATGAAATTAAAATTAAAGATAAATACAAGAATCTGTTTGATGCTTGGTTTCGGAAATTTGTTGATACTGTAAAATCAATAAAAGATTCAGAGCAATACAGAGTTAGTAATTTTATTGAAATAATACATGGAGTATTGGAATATTTTCCTACATTTGTAACTGTAATTTTAGTTTGCAGATAAGAAATTCGAAAAACAATTGGGAATGCACATTCCAATGCCTAAAATAAGGCAAAATAAAGAAGACACATTTAAGTTTCTTAAGCCATCAAATATTACTGTCATAGGGTCTTATGCATTCAATGGTATAGTTGGTCCAAATATTACTGTAGACATAATGATTGAAATGCCTGCCAAAATATTTCACAAGCAAGACTGTCTAAATTATAGATACATGAAAAAGAAAGCAATGTATTTGGCATATGTAGCATCGCATATCACTGATGATATTGCAGATGATAAAAAGTATGTTGGAAATAATTTAAGGCCAATGTTAAAAATTATACCAAATGGAAAATTAGGTAAAAAGCTCAATGTATTGGTGCACATATCAGCTCAAGAAGAAAGCTTTGCTTTAAGAAGGCTTTTACCAGAGAAAAATAATGTCAAACCTGGATGGTTCTTCACAGACACAACAAATGGTACATTTTAGTATGGATTTAGTTTGGCACATATTGTGTCTTTATTGTCAGAATGACTCTATTTTCATAAATATTATATTTGCAGAAGATGCATCCCCTACACCACATTACAATTCAATAATCCTTCATGATTTGACAATGTCAAGAATGAATTTAGAGAATATGAAAATGTTAAAAGAATACCCAAACTTGAGAGATGGTATTATATTACTAAAGATATGGTTAGCTCAGAGAGAATTAACCAAACGTTTTGTAGACTTTAATGGACATGTCATAACAATGTTTGTTTTATACTTATTATCCATTAAAAAGTTGAATACATTTATGAGTAGTTATCAGGTAGTTAGGAATGTATGGACTAATTTAGGTAAAGTATTTTCTAAACAAATGCTGAGAAGTGGATATTTTGTCTGTATCAATAATTAACATCTTTTAATATTTATTAGTGCAAGTTAGTTGGTGTGAAACTGGAATAACAATGAATCAAAATGAAGACACTGAAAAAACGATTTTGAATTATAAGAAGTATTATGATTGTGTATTTTTAGACCCTACAGGCTATCATAACATTGCAGCATACATTTCTAAGTCTACTTTCTGTTGGGTACAACAAGAAGCAAAATATTGTTTGAATCACTTAGATAGTGTGCATGCTGATAGCTTTCAATCACTTTTCATGAGAAAGGTGCCATTTTACAGGGCATTCGATCATCTTATATGGTAATTATTTTGATAAAGTATATAGGAATAAAATTAATAATTTTAAATTGATTTATGACACTGTACAGTTAATTAATTACATAGCTTTAAGGATACTCAGCAGTTGAAAAATATTGTGAATGCTACATCAACTAGTATTGATAGATTAGACTATGGTCTTAATTACCGAGATCAAATAATAAAAATTCTTCATAATTTATTAACGAAAGGACTAACAAATAGAGTACAACAAATTTGTGTTTTACCGAAGGAAGTTATAGAGTGGGAATGCACACAAAATATTGATGATGATATTGGAGAGATTGTTATTGGACTGGAATTAAATCCAGAGTTTTGTTTTACTATTGTTGATAAAGGTCCTGAGGCAAATCTGCCAGAGGTCAGTAAAATATATAACAATAATAAACGGTGCCAGTGTATTTTAATGCCATGAATATCACATTGTAGGCAGTTACATTTAGAGAGTTTTGGGGTGACAAATCAGAGTTACGTCGATTTCAAGACGGATCTGTACGCGAAACTGTAGTTTGGTCAAAAGGCAAAACAATATCAGGAAAAAGAATGATATGTAAAAATATCGTAACTTTTTTATTGCTAAAAAAAATTGGCCTCTCTAAAGATCAGTTTACATATATTGCTGATGAAATGGAAGAAGTTTTAAAATTATCAAAGGTAATCACATTAGCACTCGATTATCTTTCGATTTGTATAAATAAATAAACCTTGTTTATACATTTAGATCAAAATAACGCATTTCACTTATGGCACGGGCGAAGAAGCTTCTCTGAAAGTGATAAATGCATTTAATAGTTTTGAAAAGGAGTTAATGTCTCTCACGGACATTCCTTTATCGATACACGGAGTTCAAGGATCCAACGCAGTATTCCGATACGCAGATGTTTTTCCACCACTTGCGACGGTTTATAGATCAGATAAGAAACTTATTAAAAACAGCAAAAATTGTTTAATATTGTCGAAAAATATTACTCAAGCTCCTAGATATGTTTGTCCACTTGAAGTGAGTTTGCAGTTATCAACAAGTGGAAAGTGGCCTGATGAGTTAGAAGCGTTTAGAAACACAAAAGCCGCTTTTCACATACAAATTGCAGAATGTCTCAGACAGCAATGTATGTTAAAAGCAAATGCAAATTTTTCATATATCGATGTGTACAAGGTTATTATATTTCATTATTTATTACATCACAATAACAATTGTTATACATTAATGAAAAGTAGTGTTAGATGTAGAAGATATATTCAAACCTAGTAATTTATTATTAGGAAGGATTCGTGTTTCGATTAAGGATAGCACATCAAAAGGAAATTGGTTGTTTAAAGCAACAAGTAACCGAGAACGGAGTTACACAATACAAAGATAACGACGAATCAATTGAATTAGAAAATAAATTGTTTGAATTACCGAAATTGACTAGCGCTTTGCATGGGTAGATATAATTTATTTTAAAAAAAGTTTAATTATTTCTTCGTAATTAGAAATTAATGTGACACTGCTCATTTGGTAGATTGCATGTTCAACAACCATCCTTTGGGGCTGCTTGTTGTTTAACAAAACGTTGGCTATCTGCCCAATTATTGGACAATTCTCATATACCAGATGTAGTGGTTGAGTTACTCATAGCTTCAATGTACTTAACACCAGCACCATATAGACCTCCTCAAATGCCACAGGTAGCATTCTTGAGAATATTAGAAATGTTTGCAAGGGGTCACTGGAATACGGATCCTATTATCGTTAATTTCAACAATGAAATGTCTAGTAAGTATTTAGTTCAAATTAAAAACTATCGTAATTGTTGTTAACCTGTTGTGTGTAATAATAGGAGAAGAAATCGTAGCTGTGGAAACCCTTTTCGGATCATCTCGTAATTCTCTACCGCCGTTATTTATATCTACTCCTTACGACCATGAAAGATCATTATGGACTAAAAAAGCACCGACTACCCTAATTTTAAATCGTATTACCGCGTTAGCAAAACAATCTTTAAAACTGTTCGAAGAACAACTTCTTACAAAGGTTATATCGGATGTCAAGGCTTTGTTTCGACCGCCACTCACGGAATATGATTGTTTGATATATTTAAAGCCACATATGATTCCTAGAAAACTACAAGCAATTGATGTTAATGAAAAATATCAGGTCATTGATTGGCATCCTTATAAAAAACACTCGCACGAAAAGATACCAGTTGTAGGTTTTGATCCCGTACAGTGTTTTTTGAAGGAGTTAAGGGTAAGTTAAAGTATTAACTGTTTTATATGATATTCGATTAATTTTCAATGTCAACATTTTTAGGATGGTTATGATGAATTTGCGCTATTTTTTCACGATACCTATGGTGGTATGATAATAGGAGTGTTATTGAAACCTACTGCCTTAGAAGTCAAAGAGTTTAAGATATCAAATATTAATTGTCGTAAATACAACAGCGACGGTCAGTTGGTTTTAAATGTTTCCGCGATGATTCAAGACTTTTATATACTTGGAGATGGTATAGTAGAAGCGATTGATGTACGATCAAAAAGATTTTCTTTAAGCTGATAATTTCCTTAAAAAAATAATATCCTCTAAAACTCTGAATCTATATTTAATATTAGTGTAAATAAATTGTAATGTAAATACAAAATAGACTAGTTTCTTATATCATGTAGAGAACCTATGTTAATTATGTACTTCCATCTATGTACTATAAAATAAACATGTTTTTTATATTATTTGTTTTCTAATTTATTTAATGTGAGAATATAGGTACGTCTTTCAAAAATATTTTATATTAAATAATATAGTTTAATGGTGTTGTTATTAAATAATAAATGATTCACTCGATCTTGAGATCTTTTGGAATTGCCTTCTGGAAGGTGGAATTATGGTAATACTAATATCACTTACATTGCCCCTAAATGGTTATTAAATTATCCAGCCCTCCCCCCCCCCCCTGAATATACTTCCTTATTTCACAAGGAAATTAATATAGTAGAATATAACAATATATTTATAAATAAATGAACTACAATTAAAACTGATCCAATGCATTTATTTCAATACACACATACACATCTAAACGGAATTATAAAATATTCTATATTAATATTGTTACTATTTTATTAATAATTTTCTAAAAATAATTTATGAAAATAAAGTGTACACTAGTGTATTTATTAATATTAATGTATATACTGTATAGTACACAATTCACATACAGGAATAAATTTATTAATTACTTCATCATTAAAGATCTTATTTCTGTATTCAATTTCATAATAACTGTATCATCGATCGTATAACTGCCAGTTTTTAAGAGAGAATCACGTTCTTCAAGTAGCGCTTGTAATCTTTCATCGTTTTCTCCCGAAATCTTTAATTTATTTTTACTATTGCTTTGTGAAATTGTTGGACCTATATTAGTCGGCGTAAAAACTTGGCAGTATGCATCTTTTTCAATAAATGATGGTTTTGGTTTGATCACATCGATTTCCTTTTGAATTTGATTTAACAAAATTTTGTCATCTGTTAAAGCAGTGGAGTCTGCACATAGTATCTCTTCTAGACTAAAAGAAGAATAAAAATGACGCACTTTTCTACTTAAATGTAATGTTATATATTAATTTTTAATGTATAAAATTTAGAGATGACACATACTCTAAGTTTTGCAATTCTTCTTTACTATTTTTTATTTGAACTTGTATTGCTTGTTGATGCTCCATTTTCATACGATGTATTTCGCGAACTGCTTTGGCCCATTGTTCTTTGAAAAATGATTTACTTTCAAGTACATTTTGTAATTTTGCTTCAAGTGTTTTTAATTCCTGTAACAAGTTCGCCGTTTGATCTTGCGTTAAAGATCCCTTTTGATAAGATCCTAATTCGTCTGATTGTTTTTTTACTAATAATTGCAATTTTTCATTTTCAGTACTTAATTGTTCAACTTGCGTTTCTAAGGCAGTCTTTCTTTTTTCAAGGGCATTGATCTATAAAATATTAAAAATGTGTAATTCTGTATGCATTACAGGCAATCAGCAGTCTTACTGACCTTAGAGATAAGTTCTTCTTGCATTGCATGAAACGATTCTTTGAGCTCTCGTAATTTCGTTTCATATCGCCATTGCAAATCTTCATTTGCTTTAATTAATCTAGTTTCTTTTTCAAGACTTTTTAATCTTCGTGTTCGTAAGTCGTCTGTAGCATTATTTAAACTGTTTGCCAACATTTTACATTGTTCAACGCTACATGCAAGTTTTGCTTCTAAATTCTCTCGGTGTTTTTGCCATTCCTGACTTAGTAAATTTAAATGTCGATCTTCTTTTCTTTTCAACTAAGTCGTCAAAGAAGAATTATGTGTAATATATTCTAAGTATTTCTGTATTCATTTTGCATTGTTATAAAATTTTACCTCAACTTTAAATATTTCTTTTTGCCGTTCTTTCCATGTTTCCAATTCATCTACTATTTTGTATGCTAAACTATCATCTAAGATTGGTGGTCCCAAATTTTCACCTAAGTCAAAATTTATATGCTCAGATAGAGCAAATACCTTGTTTTAATGTATGTTAAAGTATGTAAGGAAACTTACTAGGTGTTTTTTTTTTAATTCTATAATATGGACCATTGTCCTCTAAGTTTAACATAATATCTAAATTACCAATATTATTTTGATCCATGTCATACAATGGTACATTGCACTGACATTCAGACTGAGAAGGGTTTATTAAATTTTAGTGAATGTGTACTTATTATTGGAAAATATTATTTTTTTATAACGCATTACCTTATTTTGATGAAACAATGGTTTTATATCAATTATACTTTGTGAAATACATGTTTTGGTACTTCCTTCTGTTTTATATACACTAATTTTAGGTGGGTAAGATGACAACAAATGTTTAATTTCATCTGTTGGTGATATAAAATGTAATTTGCATCCCATATCTTGTAATTTCATTTTCTCTCCTAATAAAAGTGGCGTTTTTGGATAAAATGTTGATATGATTTCAGTTTTGGGGTGATGGAACCTGAATTCACAATGGAACATATATTTAGTTTAAAAATTTTCAATAATGTGAAAATAGTTAAACGCCAACTTGCAAATTAATAAATACCGAATTTCAATATCTGGTACAGTAAGTTTTGGAGATATTGATTTAATTGTTATCAATAGAATCTTCAAGCAGTAGCAACGATATGCTTCTACACTTTTAGAATATTCGATGTCACTACAATGACATGGTGGTCTGTCAATTGACTGTGAGCATACAGTTTTAATTGGTTGAGTTTTTGTAATATTACAACTTAAAGAATGATTATTTAGAATATTACATTCATTTGAAAAATTGAACATTTTAATTCCAGTGGTGCATTTTCCAAAATCACCAGCAGGATTTCTGTGGCAGTCTATTTCACTATAATTCTGAAAATTATATTTAAAAAAAAAGTAAAAATGTTTATTCCTGTTTTTTTTACTGTTAATATCTATTGTGCTCACAAATTTGAAATTACAAGTTGGGATGGAACGACTTACTATTTGTTTCAAATCAGTTTTTTGTTCTTTAGTAGAATTAGGAGCATCTATATCTTTGATTATTGGATTTGAAATATCCATTGCTACATCTGTTTTATTTCCTACATACTGCAATTTTAGTTGTAAATCGAGATATGAACTTTTACATTCTATTTCACCATTTTTATTGGGATCTTCTTTGTATAAATAACATCGCTGATTTAAAATACTGTTATTATTTGCAACAGTTTTTAAAAATTCGTCGATATCGTCGGTAGGAACTAGTGGTTGTAAATTAACTTTTGACTGACCTAGTATATTATCTTTATATTTCAAATATATGTATAAAAATGGCTTTAGTTGTAAATATAACTTCAACATTTTTAATGAACTTCTGATCCTTATTACAATTTTTTCATTGAGTATCCAAAGTTCTCCATATTCTTTTTTAGTTTGATTAAAATATATATCATTTTCTAATATTTTACACCATAAATATAAATTATTTTTCATGTCTGTATAATATTTCGTTGGTAATAATAAATCTATATTTGTTGCAGATATGGCTATGACATTCATCAAGAATAACTCGTGACAACTATCTAAGGGACCTAGTTGTATAAGACGTTCGTCACGAAGCAAAATTGGAGTTAACTTGTTGGGTTCAATATCTGTTTGTTTAGATTCTTCTGAATTCTTTAACTATAATGTAATGTTTGCAAGCATTTGTGTTACCTTCAAATATCAAATGAAATTTGAAGTATAGAAAATGAATTATTACCTCTGACCGAGAATTTAATATTGTAGATTCTTGGTCATGAATACTTAAACCGAGTAGTAACTCAGGCTTATGTATTTTGAGATCGCTTCTCAATCCTAACAGTTTATGCCAATGGAACTTTACATCCTCATCACCATTTTTATAAAAAACTTGTGCAGATCGTAGACTAAGCAAAAAGTATCCCAATTTCTCTTTACTATCATTGCTTTTAATAGCAAAACATTCTAATTTTAATGGGACTTGTCCAGATCTCATTCTATAAAATTAACGATTTGTTAAATAACTACGTTTATAATAAATTTTTTATTTGTTTATAATACATACTTTCTAAGTCTGTGTTTATCTATTTCCCAAACTAAGGCATGATCGTATTGGGGATTTGGGCTTGGGTCTATCCTTTCAGTTTCTAGCGAATGACCATTTAAAGTAGCTACCACCATAGTTGGTAGTAGAATTTGTTCAAATCCTTTACCTACAATCATCAATACGAGGGTTTTGTACAGTGGCATACTTGTTATAAATTATTTAACAGTTAATTTGTTGTTTTAATTTAAAAGGACCAAACAAGGCAAATATTTATTTAAAAAATGTACAATTTTATTTATTACATTATTCATCATAAAATGGAATAAAACATATTTATGAATACAAATTGACGCGTAAAGTTAATTGTCAGACAAAATTGATAATAAAAGGTTAATAAATAACGAAATATAAAATTTACCTTCTTTTATGTTTAGAACAATACGAACATCAGAACTCACTAATTCTTCCATGATACGCAATATAATACACAAAAATTATAAAAATAAACTCTGCAAATAGCTAACGAATATAAAAGAAATTGGTAAAATTCAAATTGGTTTCCATGGTAACAGAGGCACTTAATGTCACAACATTTTAGTTTCAAAATGTCACAGGTCACTGAAATTTAAACGAACGGTATTGTTTCGGTCAAAAAATCCCTCGAAATGTAACAATTTAACAAAAATTAACGAACGTCACAAATCTCGCGGTTACGATCATTGTTTTATTCTACTTCTTTCATTCCGTTTGAAAATTCGAAAAAACGCCATATTGTCATCGGATAGATGCAGATAGATAATTAGCTGAACAATAATAGCTTGGTAACAACATTTCTATATTTACTAAGTTATTATTAATTTATCGTAACGGTACAAAACATAACAAAACAAAACATAACGTGCATAACACGGAAAAAAGTATAATAAATATAAAAGTAGAAGAAAAAGGGAAAAGGGTAAAAGGATTATTTTTATCAATGAAAAGTCGCCTCAACATATATATATTTGGAAACATGAATTTTTGCCATCTAAAAGAAAAGTTACTAGGGTCGACTACTCTCTCCTTCTCAATTTTTCTCGCAAGATTGCTTGATAACGCGACATGATTTTCAAAGTATTGCTTATCCAGTTCTGAAACAATTGAAGAAGAAAGAATATCAAGTCCAGAGATGGGCAAAACCCTAGACTTCGAATAAATCTGAAGTTTGCCGATGTGTTTGTCTCGTTTCCTCTTTTGAACATTTACCGAAGAAGGAAATAAGACAAACACATCGGCAAACTTCAGATTTATTCGAAGTCTAGGGTTTTGTCCATCATTGATATCAACTCATGGTATTTCTAATGATAAAATAATATCTACGTTATCTTTTCTATAAAATACATGCTCCAACATTATAGATACTACTGTACTCGATGGGATGTTGCGTATTTCATACATAAATAAGTATTGATAAAAGATAAAACACGAACAGAGAGGGTAACTAGCGTTGGCGATTTTCCCCTAGGTAAAAAGAACACTATTCGCCGTTACATAGTTCATGGTCGTCCAGACGAGATGGCTCTAGCATCGCGGTACGTTGTGAACGCGGCCTTACTTTGGATTGGGTTGGCAGCATTGTCGGCCTCGTAACAAATCTCACCCATGTCGAGTCGAGCGCGAGAGACAGGAGCGTAAGCTTGTCCGCGATCGTTCGTCCGCGTTCGACGGCTCTTTCGAATAGCGTGCGTGTGCGATCGGTCGATGGCACGGTCGGGAAAATAGTCGTATCTCTCCCAGCGAGGTTCGAAAAGTAAGACACGGAAAGAGTGGCGACCGAGGTGTAACAGAAAGACCGCGAGGAAGACTTGCTCGGTGTTAATCCGGGCTCGTGTGTGGGCACACAATAGCCGAACGGGCATACTGGTGGTGACACGACTGCGGACTTTTCCTTAGACGAGGACCAAGAACATACGAGACTCGCCAAGTGCACGGTGACCGTGTGTGCGTGTCACCGGGAAAACAGTTTCAGAGCCGCTACGGCGGCGCTCCCCGAATCGTAACCACAGGAATCAAGTTCGTGGCGGTGGTGAGGCAGGCCTGTCGCGGTCTGTCTATCGGGCCACGAGAGATTGAAACGGTACGATCGCACGCGGCGGGGCCGTTTGTAATGGAGGTGGTTTACGAGTGTGTTACCGTGCAAGTGAACAGGTCACGGCGATGCACGCCGTATTGACTGAGACGCGACATTTATCTGTGACTGTTTCTCCCGGCCGGCCGGGTGAGAAGAAAGCCAAGTTGAAATTGATATGGAATCGTCCAGGATCTTCGACGCGACGAACACTCGCTTCCGTCTGTGATAACCACTAGCCGCATAGAAACAGGTAGAAACCAGAAGAAGAATATAAAGAAAAAAGAAGGGAAAAAGAGATATACGTGCAAGCGTTTGCGCGCGTGTTACTCTTCCTTTCCGCACCTTTCTTCGCTTCGGTATCGAGTGTAAACAATTTCTCACGAAATCTGCTTGGAGGTTAGGATAGCATGGGGATTGATCCCCTGAAGGCATCGACCGACGGACCGTGACACCTGCGACTCGCCGCGTACACGGTGTGTGTCCCTTGGGTCTGTGGGTGTGTGTGTGTGCGTGCGCGTGTATCCCCAGGAAGCCGCTCGAGTGATATTTCCATCGGCGGTTGTCCCGAGGGAAGTACACGAAAAGAAAAATATGTCAAGAATGGGGATCGATCCCCGATACGACAACGTACGACGTCGCGAACACTGATAATCGACCGGGGGGGGTTTGTTGTTCGACCTGTCCCAGGAGGGAGAGTATTTCGAGCGTGTTCACAGCAGTTGAACGGACTGTCGCGGGATATATACTCTGCCACGACGGTGGACACTAACGTAGCAAAATGCAGAAAAGGGACGGCAGAGATACGCGCGAGAAGGAGCTCGCGCGTAACTCTGAACGCGAACAGGAAGCCGCCAAGAGGACCTCCCGTGGAAGCGGTAACGCCGCCAGATCCAATGTGCATTCCTCGAGGCACAGTGGCACGTCCTCGGCCACCCTGGTACAGATGGTGGGTCCCAACTTCCGCGTCGGCAAGAAAATCGGCTGTGGCAACTTCGGCGAACTCCGACTCGGTAAGTCTATTTACCATTTTACTATCGTTCTAGTTTTTTCATTCCCGTGGACGTTCCATCGAGAGAATTTACAGCGGGTGCAGAAAGTATTCGTACAACGATCAATTTCCAAAAAAACCTATGTAAAATTGTGATTTATTAACTTATTTTTGATAAACAATGACATTCTACATATTCTCGGAAATCTATACAATAGATAGAATACAAACAAAAAAAAAAAATAGCTATTTATGTAAGTTGCGAAATTACCAAGAAAAAGAAACAGAAATGTTGAAGCAATAAGTATTCGCACGACTGTTTAATTTTTTAAACTTGATTAAAAAGAAAGAAATTTATAGTAATTTGCAAGTATGTAATACTTTCTTCGTGAGATTTCCTTTTGATTTTATAATAATTTTAACCTTTCTAAACATTAAATGAAGCAAATTATTAGTTAGAAGTTAATAAGAAGTGAGATCTTCTTCAATTCCTCTGTTAGAGCCATTTTTAAAAGTACCTTACTGGAGATTTGATGTTTTCTAATTCGTACGAAGCAATAAACTAGTGTGTTTACGTTACAAACTCTACAAATACTTATTGCTTCTATATTTTTACCCACTTTTCGCATTTTTTTTTTGTTAATTTCACAAATTATCAGCTAGTAAATGTTGTTTGGACTGTATCTATCTTAGAGATTTCTGAGAATATGTAAAATATCATTGATTATAAAAAAAAGAAATGAAGAAAACTACAATTTCACACGAACGTTTGTTGGGAAATTGATCGGTGTACGAATACATTCTACCTTAAACACATAGGTTTGCGGTGAGCAAGATTTCTCTACACTGGTTTACCTGAAAACAAAAACAAAGGTACATTTCGAAAATAGATTAGTCTAGCGGGTCCCTGAACGAAGGATTCTGGAAAAAATTAATTTAAAACAAGTTGGCGTACATTTAAAGTTGATTTTCAATTTTATTCATTAAAATTAAGCGATTCAATACAGGATAAAAAAAAAAGTATATAAGAAAATAAAAAGTCTTTCGATCAGGGACCCGTTAGTCTAATATATTTTCTAAATCTACCTTTAGTTTTGTTTCCAGGTGCATCAGTTTGAAGAAATCTTGCTCGCCGCAAATCAAGTGGCCACCCACGCCATTTTTTTTAAAACAAAAATTCTTTTATAGTTCTCTAAGACATACTTTGTAATATATTTACATTTCATCCAGAAAAATTATTATTTAATACCTTAAAAACACACACACACACACACACACGCGAAACTGTCCGTTTCCATTTTCCCGACTGCGACTAACCAGCCCCTTAAGCAAGGAAATGCTTCTAACCGACGCCACTTTGGATTTCAAACAGAGAATTCTTATTCATCGGTAAAATAAATACCTCGCTATTTTCGTTTCATTCATAATTTGATTCGTCGTTTTATTTCGATATGGGAATTGTTATTCGAGAAAATGAAATATGTTTTTCGGGGCGCTTGAGAATGGGGATTCCTGTCTCTGATATTATTTCGTGCACATCGATCTTCGCGCGTTGGTTTGGCGAAATTGTAGTTTTTTGTCGATCGAACTTCAAAGGTGTTGCAACCTTTTTGAAGTATCGCGTGCTTAATCGAAGTAGAAACAGGAGAGAAGTTTCGGAGTCCATGAATTCCCTGTACGTTATTTTCACAGATTTGGAGACAGTTTGATTTGCTCATAAATACGAAGGTTCCTCGTGATCGTATACAATGTCGAAGATAATAAAATTTATAATTGATTGTAGTGGAACCACACGTTCGAAAAGTTTATTTTTCCGCTGCAAGAACATGATTTGTAGAGTCCCAAAATATTATCATTTTTATCCGAAAGCGTTTAATTTCTGCTATTCCGATAACTGTAATTGAAATCTGATAGATAAGATTATCTAAGATATTCTTACTTATGAATATATTCTGTATTTGCCCAGGATTTTTCGAAAATTCAGTAACGTTGAAATGGTAACAACTCGCAGGATGTTTCGATTTATATTTACAGCAGAAAAATAATATTATCGTTTTGCATTTCAAAGTCGTGGAAATAGAAACGCACGAGGGTTCGGTGTAAATTGACCGATGACGCGTTAACTTTTGCATTTCGAATGCACCGCTTATCGTCAAAGTTTACGTCTCGCGCGTGACGTAATTCTGCGTGGTGAATTTATACATTTTATCTATGCTAAGAGGGAAGCCGAATATAGACTTGTTTATGTTTGTCGTGCGATTATTAGTGTCGAGTTTCAGTTTTGTTATGCATGTTTACGCGTTCTGCAAATAGGCCGCTTTGGACTCCCAATTAACAGCTGTTAACGGTAACTGTAAACCATTCGGTTGTCGAATATTTTATTAAGTTCTTTGAATCGTATTCATACAATTTTCCCGTCGGTATTTTTGAATACATAAAGATGTACATAAGACGGTTTTCTTTCGACGTATTTAAAGTGTATGCAAAACAGTTTAACATGAATTTAAATCTAGTCTAAATTGATATCTTTTTGTATTGATAAATATATTTTATTATTTTCCTCGCGAGCAAGAATTTCTATTTGAACAAAATGTACACGTATTTTTATGCGAAATCAATGGAATTGTTTATCAACGATTCAAAGAGCTACTTAATTATTTTTCACGCATATTTTTTCATTTGGAAATTTATTTGTCCAAAACAAAATCGATGGAATTGTTTGTTTACCACTTGAAGAATTATTCTACTATTTTGTTCTCACCGATGAACATCGTTAAAGTTTTATCGGATGTGAATGTTTTATGCATAAGCATAGTAAAATTTTAATAAATTGCAAGCAACTTACTGGCACTTTTTATTATTCCGCTCTTTCTACATCGTTCCATTTACATAAACAATGGAGCAGTTAATTTGCAATGCGTTATATGACTAAAAATGCAGACCAGAATGAAGTCTTAATTAGAGGAAAGAGTAACAAAAATATTGGTTAGATTCATAAATAATTTATGTTTGTCAATTTACAATTTCTTTCCTAATATATCATTACACGATAAATCTTAGTCAGTTATATAATTGTCATCGTTGATTATCACCTGTTCCAATTTAGGAAATGAAAAATCTCTATCTGCGGATGATTCTCTTCAACAACCATTGTTACTTCATCTGCAGCGGAAGTTATTTACGAATCAACCCGTTAGCTACGGAATTCTGATAAAAATGCATTGTTCTCGTCAATGGGACTGCACGTGACTTTTTTTTTATAGCGAAACATTTTCCTCGTCTAAAATCGCTGGTATAGATCTATGCATCGTTGCATCAGTACGTGTTTACCCGTTATCAGTTCAATTATTACCCAGCGCAAGTGGTCCCTCGTGCTGTCCTTGTCGCTATATTACAAACAGTTGGCTGATATTTCAGAATTAAGATTCAACCGCCCGAGTTTCGCATTGTTCTTCTGCGTGCTCGAAAGCTCCGCGTCTTGCACGTAATATCTTCCTCTCGTGTTTTATTTTTGTTTTCAACTATCGCGGAGATTTTGTAGATAACAACCTTTTCGTGGAAAACGAAGCCGTGAATATCGTAAACAGGTTGCAAATAATGAAAGTAAGAAATAGAATGGTCCACATTAAACAGAACAAACAGGATACTACCAAAAGGGAAAATCTTATGTTTAAACGATGATTAATAGACTGCGGATCTTTATGCATTTATAGAAAATTTGTATGTGCAAGAAACTACAAAATGCAAGTACGCACAGTATGCAAGAATATAAAAAATATTGAGAGTAAAGTTCATATTATAATATTTGCAGGGTAAAATAAATTCCTATTTAGGTTCAATTTTTGTAGACACGTTTGCCAAGATTTTATTTTGCATAAAGATCCGCAGTCTAATGATTAATAACGCAACTAGTTCGCAAAAGAAAGTTTACGACTAGTATATAGCTTGTTTGCTTGCATCGACCGCGTTAAACGTATAATTATTTTATCATCTCTCGTTCTTATTCTCCGTAAAAATCGGATCGATAAATTTCATACGGTATTCCGTCTGAAGAAATTTATTTTTATAAATTTCATTCACGGTATCATTTTTCGTTCGCTCCGCTAATCTGCAATTTCCTTGGGGAGATACGAAGTGTTGTTTCATTGATAACAGCGTTAACAATTTATGTAATCGACGTCTTGTGAGAAACCGTCCGCCGCGTGTGATTGGGATTCCTTTTAGCGATTGTTCCCGTTTAGCACACGTGACGAGAAAATAAAGCGCACATTGTAATTTCCAAAGCGCGTAATTGCGTTAAATTGTAAAGTCTGCACCGCGAACGGCAACATTGCTAGCGGGTATGAATATTTAAGGCAAACAGGTGGAATTAGCAGATCGGTAATCCGAGATATTGTTTTCCCGTGAGTTCGATGTTAGTCGATGGAAACACCTATAGGTTCTCGGCTGATGATTCGACGTAAAAATGTAATCGATTGTTCAAATAGCGATACTAATTATAAAAGATTTAATTCCTGGAAGCAATTGCAGTTTTCGGCGAGCTTTATCGATTTAGATTCTTTGATATTAAAACTTATCGGCACAGTCTTAACGAAAACGATAAGGAGTTGATTAGGATTATACACGTAATAATTTAATGCATATATTCGAATTCTATTTTTCTATTTTTCTATTATTGTTTACCTTTTGTTGCTCCATCTTTGATCAGAAACAAACAGTAATTGGTAAACTAACACACCTGGTCCTAATGCTTTCCTAATTGGTACATTCAGACGTTTATGGCTTCCTAAAGCTTTTATAACTGCTAACAAATGCCTAACAAAGTTTTATTGGAACATATACTTTCGATACCTTTTTTCCTGTTAGAGCATTCTAACATCCAACTATTAATTTATTATTAATCTTGCGGATGACTTAGAATATATCGGTAAATGTGTTATAGAGAAATCCAATATGTAACTATCAATTTATTATTAATCCAAACTAATAATCTCGAGTTTTCAACCCTTTACGGTTACAAAA